CCCTATAAACCCCTAAACCCCTAAGCCCCTAAACCCCTAAACCCCTAAATTTGAGCCCAAGGTCGGACTTTAGCGAGGAGGCCGAGGCCATCCTGGCCCTGCATCGCCCAAGCAAGGGCGCCACCACGGACGCCGTCGCACGGCGCCTGATCGCAGGCCTTGGGCTCCTTTAAAGGGATCTATAAGGGTTCCTTTTTGGGTTCAGGGTTTAGGGGTCTAGGGGTTTCGGGGTTTAGGGGTTTAGGGGTCTAGGGGTTTAGGGGTTTAGGGTTTAGAGGTTTAGGGTTTAGGGGTTTAGGGTTTCAAGGGCGAAACCATCCAGCAACCATCTGTACTGTAGTATTCGAATAGCAACAAAAGCAATAGAATCATAGCAGTAATATTCATAATCATCGTGGCCGTGTTAGCAATGGTAGTGACACTATTTTCTAATAACACTACTGACGCTCGAGTAGTCTTGTACGGATTTTGAATTTCTTGCAGGTCCTTATGCTGTCGTTTTGGCGTGAAGCTGTTCGGTAAGGTACTCACGGAGTTTTGAGATGAATATCGATACAGAACCTGAGACGTTGATGCTTACAATTCGACCCTGAAACGAAACAACACCCTGCTCCCTGGAACCCTGAAGGCCTCATGGCCGAAAGCGCAAAGGCCTAAAAGTCCAAACCCAGACACACTTCTAAACCCCCAAATTCGATAAAGAACAGCTCAAGATGAAACCTGGGTGCAAGACCCTAGATATGGTCAGTCTCGAACCCCCCAACCTCAAACTCGAAACCCGAAGCTGTTCGGGTTGAGGGTTTAGGATTTTGCATTCGGGGTGTGGGGTTTAGGAATTGGGGCGCTGCCTCCAGGTGCCCTAGACGGAGACACGGTCATCACCAAAGAGCAGCTGCGGCAGATCCGGGCGAAGAAGTTGTCATCCTCGGCAGCTGCAGGAGGCTCCTGGTATGGTTTAGTGTTCGGCCCCCGAAGTCCAAACTAACACAAAGCATCCAAGAGCCTCAGCGAGTTTAGGGTGTAGGGTTGAGTTGGGATTGAGGTTCAGGGTTTCGGCAGGATTTACCTAAACCCTAAACCCAATAGGGTGACCCTAAGGCCCCCAAGAAGGCTACGAGGCCAAGCGGAAGCCGCCGCCGGCACCGCCGATGCCCACCTTGGGCTCCTCCTCAGACTCAGAGTCGGCGAGCTCCTTCAAGGCCTGTGAATCCTGGTTTAGGGTTTAGGGTTTAGGGCTGACAAGATGTTTCTCTGCATATTCAAGCAGGTGAGTCGTATCCAAGTGACCCAATGTAAGCAGCTGCAGAACTTACTGAACTTACAATGCTCTTGCTGATGCTGTTGCTGCCACTGCTGTTGCAGCTACTGCTGCTGCTGCTGCTGCTGCTGTTGGTCTGAAACTGCCAAACCCTAAACCCCAAACCCTAAACTGCCCTAAACCAACACATCGAGGCCCCCGCACCTGAGAAAGAGACGCCGCCTGCCAAGCGGCCGTCCCTCTCGGAGAGGCCAGGCTCGGCTGTGGCCGTATACCAGGGAAAGGCTAGAAGTACTTGGGTTGCGTCTGGGGATATTTTTCATACTATTTATTATTATTATTCTTATTACTACTATGATTACAATTGTTATTATTATTGTCATTATACTTGTTATTATATTAGGATTATTGGGGTCTTGAGGCTCAGAGCCTGACCGGACCTGCTGTCCCTCCACCTTGAAATCCGAAAGTCTCTAACTCCTCTCTGTTCCCCAGAAACTCGGGTTTAGGTTTAAGGGTTTTTAGGGTTTAGGGCTTTAGGGTTTTAGGGCTTAGGGGTTTAGGGTTTAGGAACAATTCCCAGCCCCAAAACCCCTTAAATTATAGTAGGAAGCTTAATAAGATTCAAGGTATATTTCTTAATTAAGGTGCTTTATGGAGTCTCTGGGATCCCTGACAGGCAGCCAGACACCAGGCCGAAGGACCAAGCGTGTCCAAGATGTCTTTGGGACCTTCGGGGAAGCTTCGGGTCAGGATCCTCTGAGTCCGGAAGTTACTTAGGTCTGGGTTTACGGTAAGTCTGGGCTTTGCGGGTGGGGATATATAATAATAATAATAGTAAAAATAATAATAATAATAATTATTATTATTATTAATATGACTCTTTTAGGAAAAAGGATTATCATTATTCTTATTATGTCATGGAAGGAAAGCCAAGCTATGCAACGAGAGGACCTGCCTTGAAGCCTCAACAGGACAGCAAGGCCAACCCCGGCGGAAGCCGGCTGCTTCAGGGTGCCTTGCGTGGCGTGGTCGGGGCGCCTTCTGGCCGCAAACGAGCTTGCGACTGCGAAGACGAAGACCAAAGCAACTGTCATGAACCGCCCTAAACCCTAAACCCAAAACCCTAAACGTGTTGGAATGCGAAACCAGTGTGAAACCTCAGGTCTCGAAAGAAGGACGCAGGGCCGAAGCCCACGAAAGGCCAATGACGACCATGACTAGGACTAGGACAAGAGTGGACGGTGCGGGTAACTCTGCTTGTGCCCAATTCTGGTGACCACCAGCTTGGCTATGATAACGATGATGATGACGATTCTGACGGTCTTCTGGCTGATGTTGTTGATGCTGATGACGATGATGGTGGTGATGGTGATGGTGATGATGAGGATGATGAATATGATGATGAAGATGATGATGACGTCGATGCCGGTGATGTGCAGTTTCAATGCTATTCTTCGTTCTCCTCATCGTCGTCGTGGACTTGCAGACTCTGCAGACCCTAGTATAGGCACTGGTGCCTGCACCGGTCCTATTCAAACGAGAGTAACATCAGCAGTAGCAGCAGTCTTCGTCCTGTTCGCTGTCGTTGTCAAGTGGTGGCCGGCATCGTCATCGTCTTCATTGTCATCGGAAGAACCAGGATGTCAATGCATCACAGGTAAACGAAACCAATGCAAAAGGAGCAGCAGCAATCGACTACGACAAGTGCTACTGGCACTTGCGGCGTACTTTCTAAGAGTAACACCGATCGTTGCTGTCGGGATGCGGTTTTCCCTGGATAGATCGAAGATGACGACAGGCGAAGTTGGCAGGAAGAGCGAGGAACGTGCGCCGAAGCCACAGGGACCCCGCAATGCGCTGTGGTGTTAAAAAGAGACCGGGGTTCAGGGTGTATATAAGGCTTCAGAGACCCGATTTGTGAAGGCCTGTTCTGCCAGACGTCTGTGGCCAGAAGTGCAAGAAAAGAGCTGAGCGTGACTGCTTGCCAAGCATCCTTTGCCGCTCTGGTGGCAGCATCTCCGTTCTCCTCTGCGTTTAGGTTTTAGGGGTCATGAGGCTCTGATTGCGTGCAAGTGACAGATACCCTACCTTCTAAGCGCGCTGCCACGCTGCCGTCAAAGTATAGTTGAAGCCTGGAGTAATACCGGGGCCCCAACGAACCCCAAAGTTGTATGGGTAATTATCTAACTAGGACTAGGCCCCTATTCGTTCGCTAACTCTCTTGCTCCGCATGCCCAGACCCGGCAACCTTTCCCTAAGCCCGGTGGCAGTTTGTCCCGTAGAGTTCCTCATTATAGTCACGCTAGAATAAGATATTCCCTAACAGTATCCCTTTGGGTTCTAGAGGATAGCCCAAACCTCTGTTCTAGTTGCTAAGGCCTAAACCCCAAATCCCTTAACCCTAAACCCCAAACCCTAAACCTTAAACCCCCAAACCCCAAATCCCAAATCCCTAAACCCCAAATCCCTAAACCCTAAACCCCGCAACCCTAAACCCTAAACCCTAAACCCCCAAACCCCAAATCCCAAATCCCTAAACCCCAAATCCTAAACCCTAAACACCTAAACCCTGAACCCTAAACCCCAAACCCTAAACCCTAAACCCCCAAACCCCAAACCCCAAATCCCAAATCCCAAATCCTAAACCCAAAACCCCCAAACCCTAAACCCTAAACCCAAATTTTCCCCAAATCCGTCCGATTTTTCTTTCTCTGCCAGGGCGGAGGAGGTGGCGGGGCGAAGGCTTTCAACATCCCCGAGCAGGACGCAGAGCAGCCGAGAGAATATGACCGTTTTGGGGTTTAGGGTTTGTTTAGGGTTTGTTTGGGGTTTGTATGGGGTTTATTTAGGGTTTAGGGGTTTGGGGTTTAGGGTTTGGGGGTTTGGGGGTTTGGGGGTTTAGGGGTTTAGGGTTTGGGGGTTTAGGGTTTAGGGTTTCCTTATACAGTAGTTCGCAACAGCAGCCGGTCAGTGCCCCTAAGTTCTAGATATCTTCAGTATAGTGCAGCGAGCTGTAGCACTATGGTAACTATCTATTCCATTGATATGAAGCCCGAATGCTTGCCACTGTTATTCTTTAGGGTTCCTTTTTTTTCTCATTGTACTGGAACACGCCCCCTAAACCCCACTCTAAGTATGAAGGCCCCTGCATTACGTGAGGTACTTTCCATCTTGGCACCTCTTGGTGGCAGGAGACCTACCATGATAAGCCCAACAAGGAACCCGAAACCCTGAACCCTAAACTAAGCTAACCAAACCCCTAAACCCCACACCCCAATCCTGAACTAGCCGACTGGAGGCTGCTGTGCTAATAATTTGGGGCCCTAAGATCCGAAAGCTGCAAACCCTAAACCCTAAATCCTAAAGCCCGACACTCTCATCATGAAATTAAGCCCTAGAGCCTACTGTAGGGTTTAGGGTTTATGATAGTCCCCACTAAAGGCCTGTAAGGACCTTCTTCAAGCTATGAAGTTCTGCCAAGAAACCCTGCGAAGATCCTTTCTGTGCTTGAAACTCTCCTCGGGCAGTTGATCTAAAGCTCATAAAAAGCCATCGAAAAGGGTCCTTTGCAACCGTCAGAACAAGTATTGAAAGAAAAGGGCCCCACCGCAAATCCCAAGTCCCCATCCTGAGACCGCAAACTCCAGTAGACCCCGTAGACCCTGAACCTTCAGCAGCCCTAAACCCCCCACACACAGCTCTTCTATTTTCCACTAAACCCCTAAAGCCTAAACCCGAAACCCTGTAGACCCTAAACGCCCAAAGGACAATACCGCCCTCCGACGGGTCCGAAACTGGGCGGCGGTGCCCACGTCGCGGCAAAGCCCAGCCTTCGACATCCCCGTGGCCGGGCAGACGTTTAGGGGTTTAGAGTTGCAGGGTTTCGGGTTTTAGGGTTTAGGCTTAGGGTTGTAGGGTTTAGGGTTTTAGGTTTTAGGGTGTAGGGGTTTTGGGGTGTTTAGGGTTCAGAGAGCACGGTGTCACTTGATTACGGTTTCATTATTTTTAGCTTGAACTACAGGGGCATGTATTCTTCAATTTAGGGTACTGGGGTCTCTGGGTGGTGTTTTGGTGAGGGCTTGGGGTTTTAAAGGTTGCTTCGGGGTTTGTTGTAGGCCTTGGGTTCAGTGTTTGGGACAGGGTCTCGGGTTTTGGACGTAGGGTCCGTGGCTGTCAGGGCTTTTGGTGTTTGCTTTCGGGCTGGGCGTTGTCTCTTGGGGTAAAATCGGACCCTTCAACTTCACCCTAGACCCTAAACCCCTAAACCCCTAAACCCCTAAACCCCTAAACCCTGAACCCTAAAAACCGTAAACCGATGTTTAGTGGCTCTGCAGGGGTTTCCGGCCTTTACGAAATATGGGTAGTTCTCTAACTTAGGGTCCCTTATTGGATCCCCCAAAATGGTACGGCACCCTTATAGAAAGGACCCCAAAAGGGACCTTAATCTAGAGAACTCTGTTGTTGATATAAATCCTGCATTACCTTAGGGACCCTAATCTACAGGAATTATGGTATATTCCTTATTATGGGTAATGCAGGATTTATATCATCCACCGTACTCATATGGGCTTGAGGATTTCTGTCGGTAGTTGCTGCTCCTTTTAGGTGAGGTCTGTGGGATCGAGTTTCACGTTCAGGAAGTTTAGTTTAGGAGAGTTTGGGGTTTAGGGTGTTGGGTTCATTATTTTATAGGGTTCAGGGTTAGCGGTATGATGTCCCTTCTACTCCGTCATTCAAGCCTTTATAGATGCTGATACGACCCTACACTACCCTTACGAAACGAAAGTCCTGGTAGTGGGGGCATGTACCCAAAGTCCCAAGGTTCAAGAGGGGCTCGGAAGCCTTCTCAGCGCTTTTACAAAGGTTTAGGGTTTGGGGGCTGTGCGGCTTTATGGGGAGCTATGGGGTGTAGGGCATCATCCATTTTTAGGGATAGACCACACTTCCATAGTCTAGGGTGCTTGGGGGGAATATAGGATTTAGTCCTTCAGCCGCCCGAACGATGATCTTGTAGCCTTGCCAGGCCTTTCCAGGGTTTAGAGTTCAGGGTTTGGGGTTTAGACTCCAACCGAACTTCGAACCTCGAAGCCCTAGGCGGTGTTTGGCTGCCAAGGTCGCCGAGCAGTATCCTGACAGTCAGTTCCCTCTCGGGGAATGCGTCGAGTGCCCTCTCACCCATCACTTTGGGTATAGGGAGTATAGGGTTAGAGGTTGAGGGTTTAGGATTTTCGGGTAAGCGCGCATCAGTGATCGACCCTTGACCCTCATCAACAGCAAACCCTTGACCCTAACCCTAAACCCCAATCGCTCTGTCAAGCAGCCAGGTACGTCGGATCGCACGCCTTTCGGACGACATCCGCCGAAAAGCGTGAGGCCGTGGCAGCTCGTGGTCTGCTGTAGAAACGAGCACCATGGCTTCTATAAGGGTTCCGCAAGTTCAGGAGGCTTCTGTAAAGAGGTCCCTAACAGGGCTCTACAAGGAATCTATAAAGGTCTTTGGCGTTTAGGGGTTTCAGAAACTGGGGGGGGGGGGGAGGGTGTGCTTTTTTAAGGGTACTTAGAACAAGGCTCCTGTTGTGTAGGTTTCTCAAGACGGTGGTCCTCTTTTCTTCTGAGGCTCTCGGCGTCAAGAGTCTTCTTCGCTTATTGTCTGTACACCGGAGCTACGTACTACAGGATGCCATGTCCCGAAGCCTTGTTCTAGCACACCGTAACCCCCAAGCCCTGTTCCAGTTCTCCGGGCTTCCTCCATTCCGCGGCTTGCCAGATGGAGCGGCTCGCGTCCTACGACTACGAGAAGATCCGCAAAGCCGGAGAGGCCCATCACCATGAGCCCCAAATCCTAAACGACCCCTACACCCGACTCCCAAAGGCCTAAACCCCTCAACCCCTTACGGCCGTAATCCCTGAACCCTAAACCCTAAACCCCTAAACCCTGAACCCTAAACCCTAAACCCCTAAACCCTAAACCCCAAGGCCGTAAGCTCTCAAAAAGAGAGAGAGATGCGCTGAGGTCCATCGCCAGGTCAGGAAGCCGGGAGTCCCAGATAGCAAAGGAATGGGGAGCTGCCGGGAGGTGCTCTTGATGTTTTAGGGTTTAGGGGTTTTTTATAGGGTTTATAGGGGTTTATAGGGGTTTAGGGTTTAGGGTTTGATGTTTTTGATTGATGCCAAGATGACATGTTCGATGCCGGTTACGGTGGTCATGATGTTGACCATGATGATGGCCCTGTCCATGAGCGCTGTTTTGTTCCCGTCAGGTGCCATTTGCAGGCGAAAACGCCCTTGCCTTCTCGATGCCAGCACGAATGCAGAATTCAGGGTGTGGTATATCAACACGACAAGTCGAAGTCTAAACGTTCAGTTTTCGGAATCCTATGGAAGGCACAGTAGCAGCTGGATCTCCACTGTGACTGGTTTCGTAGAGCAGTTTTCTCTGAAATGAGATCCCTCCAACACTCCTGTCTGATTGTACCTGTGCATACTCCAATGCCTTATCAAGTTGCTTTTTTTTACTATGCTTCTGCTGCCAAAGCCTCTCCTAAATCCCTGAAGTCCGTTTTATGAGTCCCTACTTTTCTCTCACACCCCTAAACCCTCCACCATACACCCTCAACCCTCGCTAAACCCTTCAACCCTCCACCCTAAAGCCTAAATCCCATGCCCTCAGCCCTGAACCCTAAACCCTAAGCCCTTCAGAGGTACGTGCAGTCCTTCGTGAAGCCTGGTCTTAAGATGACGGAGATCTGCCAACGCCTGGAGAGAAAAACCCACGAGTTGGTCGTGGCCGGAGCCCTAGGTTTAGGGTTTAGGGTTTCTGAGTTTTGTACTTCTTTTCCAGGCATTTTTTGTGCAGGGATTCTACGGGC